TATCACCAGTACATGAGGATATATCACCAGTACATGAGGATATATCACCAGTACATGAGGATATATCACCAGTACATGAGGATATATCACCAGTGCATGAGGATATATCACCAGTGCATGAGGATATATCACCAGTACATGAGGATATATCACCAGTGCATGAGGATATATCACCAGTACATGAAGATATATCACCAGTGCATGAGGATATATCACCAGTACATGAGATATATCACCAGTGCATGAGGATATATCACCAGTACATGAGGATGGGGTTTTCTTTGATTACATTAAACAAACAAGCTGAAAATATTGATTTTTATGTTTTGTTTGTTACAGAACTTGAACAGAACCACATATTTTTTCAGCCTACACAAACACGTGTCCTCTGCAGAACACCATAGACCTAAATTTAAAATAAAGTTATAGATTAATCTGAAACAGTTTAAACGTTCTTCTAACCTTTTAATGCAGTCAGTAGTTTATTACTGAAACAGACAGCAGGGGGAAATGGCAGCAGCAGTGAAGAAAGCTGCTGACTAACACTAACAGGAGCATGCGGATGGATCAGAAAGTCTCTWCCAAGAAACTTTTTCACATTTTTGATTTTGTGAGGATTCATAGAACCTCAGAAGGAAAACTGTTGTTCTGTCTTTCCATCTGTTTATCCTAGTGGAAGACTGTCTGCCTCCAGCGTTTGTCGGCGGTGAACGGCCACAGACAGTCGGTGATGGCGGCAGCGAACGCTCGCGGCTCCACACTTAGATTCAGCAGCTCCAGCCGAGAACAGTTCAGCTGGCTGTTGATTGGACGAGGAGTCGAGCCTACGGGTTGCTCCGTTAGCTGCAGCAAACCAGGGACAAGATGTCAGTACTACTATATACTGCTGTACCAGCACATTCTGCAGTACTTATATAGTAATATATCATAGTGTAGTACTAACCCATGATGTAGTAATGATATAATAGTACTATCCAATGATGTAGTAATGTACTTTCAGAGTTTCAAACCAATATTTTAACAAAGAGAAATAACTGATAAGTGATAAAAACTGATGGTTAAAGTATTTAGAGGTCAGCTGACTTACTGGGACGAGGTGATTGGACGGCTGTTTGAAGGCCTGCGCCATGGCAACAGCCATTTCATATTTGGTCATCTGCTCCTTTCCTGAGAAATGGAAGATTCCTCTGATGGACGGATCCTGCAGACAGAAAGATGGGTTAGATCAGGAGTTCTTAACCTTTGTGACCTCAGGGACCAACATGTTGAACATTAAGAGACACCAGGTCCAGTCAGACATGACCAATGTATGGATCCAAATGAGAATTACTCTAAATCTTGGTTTAAAAATGAGAATTACTCTAAATCTTGGTTCAGAAAAGCCCAGGGGAAGTAGTTTGTACTGGTGTTTAGTTGACTGGTGTGCACCAAGCTGCTTTTTTAAATAACACCAAACTAAAGACCTGATAAGGACCTTTGCTCAACCCTCCTTCTTCACGACCGGACCTAAATGTGTGACTACTGTCTAAACCAGGTAAAGAACAAAAGACCCACAGGAGGGAAACAACAAGACAGACTGAGGTTCAGTAAAATAGAAAAGTCAAGAAACAGTCTCTGTGTAGCAGAAAGAGAGAAACATCAGCTGACTGTGATGAACAGAAAAATACCATCAAATACTGTGACATTGATGTAATTGTTGAAAATACTGTGACATTGATGTAATTGTTGAAAATACTGTGANAAATACTGTGACATTGATGTAATTGTTGAAAATACTGTGACATTGATGTAATTGTTGAAAATACTGTGATACCAAGGTTGGGGCTATCCTGTGCAGTACTAGTTCACAGTCCTGCTGGAGGGAGGGAGGGTGGTCTCTGCTGACTGCTTCCATGTCTTTTGCCTGAAGTTGGAGACCTTCTGGGATGAGTTTTCTCTGAGATCCTGTTTCTGTTACCCCCATGTACCCCAGAAAACTCCCTGAAGGACTTCGGACCAGTGATACGTACCTACTGAACAACACCCACCATAAAAATTATCAAGCTGATCCACTGCATCACCTGTCAGAAGGTCTGTGGACCGGTGACGTCCACCTGGCCCTGAAATAATGTGTCAAAACAAACTGCTTTAATCTGTTACAGAGTCCAGTCCAGGTCCAGCTCCTGGTTCAAAGAGAACCTGTCTTGGACCGGTCCAGTCAGAGTCCAGACTTCAGTCCAGATGAGAACCTCTGGTTTGATTTAAAGGCTGTTGAACCTGAAGCAGCTGGTTTTTGAGCTGTAAATACCATTGATCCAAACCATCAACAGGTCTGTGAGATCCGGTCTTCAGTTTGTTGAAAGAGGCTCTCAGGATGGAAACAGAACCAGTGCTGAAAGGTTTCATCAAACCAAAGCTTTCCTGAAAGGATCTAACTCCATTACAACCAGAAACTTCAGTTTGGTTTCCTGAGATCTGATCCAAGAAACTCTGCATAGAAATAAAGTGACAGTGAAGGAGGCAGGTGGGGAGGCGGGGCTCTGGAACACACCTGTCTGGCTCTCTCTGACAGCTTTCTGCACACAGACGCCACGTCTCGAGCGTCAGTGGGGAACCTCTGCTGGCAGTGGTCCAGTGCACAGCTGTCCTCTGTGGCCTCCTGAACCTTCAGCCACAGAGACGTGACGGCGCTCTCCGTCACAAACTCCACCTCCCCGAACAGCACAGGAACACGCAGGATCACTGCACCTGTCAGACAGGTGAGAGGGACAGGTGACCCTATGCTGACAAAGTGCTGCACAGTAAAAACAAAGAGAATCATAAAATGTACACAGACACACAGGACGTGTGAAAATACAAAGAYAAACACAACAGAATGAACCAGGTCATAATCAGCACTGGATCACAGTCAAGATGTAAAACTTCCTGAACTCTAACAGAAGTTAGGAACCATGCTGCAGCATCCTGGACCATGGTTAGGGTTACAACCCAAACTGACTCCAGTCCAGAAGACACCTGTCAGTAAAATATCAGAGGAATCAGAAACCAAAGCATGAATTCCCTCAAACAACCCTGATGGTCTTTCCCAGTCAGTGGCTCCGCCCCCCTCTCAGAGTCCAGGTGGTTTCAGATCAGGCCCTGTGACCACCTGACAGGAAAAACTCATCTCTAACTTTGTGACCAGATTAAAGGACCTGYCATGTACTTTACTGCAAATACACACAGTCACAGTAAACTTTTACTGTGTATTTAAGACATTTTACACAACAGTACACATGATTATACTCATCTGTTTCATAACAGGCTTTGTACTTGGAGCAGCTGAGTGACAATAAATCACTGATTGTCTTTTTACAGGTAAAACATGAACAGACAGACAGGTGTGTTTACCTGGACAGACAGGTGTGTTTACTGTACCTGGACAGACAGGCGTGTTTACCTGGACAGACAGGTGTGTTTACTGTACCTGGACAGACAGGTGTGTTTACCTGGACCTGGACAGACAGGTGTGTTTACCTGGACCTGGACAGACAGGTGTGTTTACCTGGACAGGCAGGTGTGTTTACCTGGACAGACAGGTGTGTTTACCTGGACAGACAGGTGTGTTTACCTGGACAGGCAGGTGTGTTTACCTGGACAGTGTCTCAGTGTCTCTCGTTCTCCCTCCAGTTTGCTGCGTCCGTACACGTTGAGAGGGTTTGGAGAGTCGTCTTCACCATACGGCGGGTTCCGCCCATCAAACACATAGTCGGTGCTGATGTAGATGAAGAAGGCTCCACAAACAGCTACAAACACACGTGTATCATGTTACATTCACGTGTATCATTTTACATTCATGTGTATCACATTCACGCGTATCATGTTACATTCAAGCGTATCATGTTACATACACACGTGTATCATGCTACATTCAAGCGTATCATGTTACATACACGCGTATCATGTTACATTCAAGCGTATCATGTTACATACACACGTGTATCATGCTACATTCACGTGTATCATGCTACATTCACGTGTATCATGTTACATACACGTGTATCATGCTACATTCACGTGTATCATGTTACATACACGTGTATCATGTTACATACACACGTATAACATGTTACATACACACGTGTATCATGCTACATTCACGTGTATCATGTTACATACACGTGTATCATGCTACATTCACGCGTATCATGTTACATACACGTGTATCATGTTACATACACACGTATAACATGTTACATACACACGTGTATCATGCTACATTCACNCAGAGATGATGTCTGATGAAGACAGTGGCCCAGAGATGATGTCTGATGAAGACAGTGGCCCAGAGATGATGTCTGATGAAGACAGTGGCCCAGAGATGATGTCTGATGAAGACAGTGGCCTAGAGATGATGTAGGATGAAGACAGCAGCCTAGAGATGATGTCTGATGAAGACAGCGGCCTAGAGATGATGTATGATGAAGACAGTAGCCTAGAGATGATGTCTGATGAAGACAGTAGCCTAGAGATGATGTCTGATGAAGACAGTGGCCTAGAGATGATGTCTGATGAAGACAGTGGCCTAGAGATGATGTCTGATGAAGACAGTGGCCTAGAGATGATGTAGGATGAAGACAGTAGCCTAGAGATGATGTCTGATGAAGACAGTGGCCTAGAGATGATGTCTGATGAAGACAGTAGCCTAGAGATGATGTCTGATGAAGACAGTGGCCTAGAGATGATGTCTGATGAAGACAGTAGCCTAGAGA